ACAGTGAAAAAACAAGAGAAGACGATACAGCGATATGATCATATAATTCAGTGCAAAAGTATTTCCCCCATCCAGATTTCTTCTGTTTTTTACGAACATCTCATACTAAATTAATTCAGAAATTAAAACCTGCCATAAAACAAACACAACCTGAGTGAACCAATACTAACTGGGCCTGTGTGAAAAGTATTTGCTCCCGTAGTTAATAATTCCCCAAATCTAAGAAACTTTATTGATAATGGAGTTCAGCTGGACTAAACACAACCAGCTCTGATCAATCAAATCAACACTTAAACAGGACTTTTAAAACAACATGAAGCTGGTTAAAAGTTGTTTCGCTTACCTTATATGATGAAACCACTTCATCGATGGGTCTGAATTTATGATTGTCGTGTTTCTTTGAATTAATACACACTACACACACCGGCTGTTTGTCCTCCAGACAGAAGAGTTTGAGTTTCTCACTGTGTAAACTTCAGATCTCCTCAGATCCTGATGAACGCCTCTCATTTCTCTCCTTCAGGAACAACTCACAAGTTTTTTAACACAAGACTAACTGGAGGATCATCTCTTGAGGATCTCCTCCTGCAGACAGGACACTCCTGAGTTTTCTTGGTTCTCCAGAACTGCTGAAGACACCCTTTACAGAAACTGTGACTACATGATAAAACAACAGGATTCTTGAAGATTTCCTGACATACAGGACAAGAAAAATCATCTTCAGATAGAGAAGCCATTATCCCTCTTTGAGCTCCAGCGATCTAAACTTTACTTTCACTTTCTGATCTATTAAACAGCATGCATATCGTGTTAATCCTAGGAAGAGGGAAATACTAGGTAAGGAAGTCGAATATCTTTTAACTCACAATCTTGCTGAGCCCAGTTTCAGTGCATGGCGCTCCCCTGTCTGCTGGTTAATAAGCTTTTTGCACCGACTATAGAAAAGCTTAATGCAGTTAAAAAGCCTGACTGTTATCCTTTACCACGGTGTGATGATTGTGTCGATAGAGTTGGCTCAGCTCAAATTTGTTCTCCTGAAAGGATACTGGCAGGTGCCTTTAACCGATCGAGCAAAAGAGTTGTCTGCTTTTGTGACACCTGACAATTTCTTACAGTATAAAGTTATGCCATCTGGAGTACGAAATGCTCCGGACACATTTCAGCGTCTTGTTAACAGTGTTTTATATGGGATGCATGGATGTGAGGCCTACATTGATGATGTGGTTTTATATAGTAATACCTGGTCTGATCACTTGTCACAATCAGGGAACTTTCTTCTCATCTCGCCGCTGCTAACCTTACTATAAACCTGGCCAAATGTGAGTTTGGGAAAGCCAGGGTCACCTATCTTGGTAAGGTGGTGGGTGGTGGGCAGGTTAGGCCTGTAGAAGCCAAGATTGAGCTATCTGTGAATTCCCTGTGCCTCAAAACCGACGTGAACTTCACAGATTTCTGGGTATGGCAGGGTACTACAGAGGTTTTAGTAGAAACTTTGCTACTGTTGTGGTGCCACTAACTGATCTTCGTAGTACCAAAGTGCCATTTGTGTGGTCAGAGAAGTGTCAGGAAGCATTTATCAATGCAAAAATGTTGTTGGCTACAGCTTCTGCACTTTTGGCCCCACATTTGAAGCATCCTTTTAGTGTTGCAGTGGATGCCGGTGAGAGTGGGGCTGGTGCTGTGTTAATGCAGGTGAGCTTGGACGGTACAGAACATCCAGTATGTTACTTCTTTAAGAAGTTGAACTGCAATCAATGGGCTTACTCTTCCTTTGAGAGGGAGGCACTTGCTCTAATTCTTGCTGTTCTACACTTTGAAGTATATTTGGGGTCATCCACAAGCCCTATAGTCATATATACAGATCACAACCCTTTGGTGTTTATTAATAAAATGCGGAATCAAAATGAACGCATTATAATAATAATAATTGGAGTTTGATTCTACAACAGTACCCACTAGACATTAGACATATCAGCAGCAAAGATAACATTATTGCAGACATGTTGTCTCATGTCTAGACTTTTGGGGGGGTGCTCTTGGTTTCTTTTCTTGTTCCTAGAGCCCAGGATGAAGGAAAGAAATGGATGCATCACAGGAGGTCTTTTGGTTTGTTTATGTGTGTGCTGGAGGTTTTCCGTACTGTAAACCTCTTTCTAGGGAGGGAGGTGTTACGACCCCCTGTGCTCTCCTTAGGCCTTTCTTTGTCAGTGCATGGGCAGGGATTGGCCTGAGGGGCAGTTAGGTAACTGGGCACACCTGGGGCATGGGTGATTGTATACCAGCGGTCTTTTCTATATAAAGAACTGGGCTGTTGGTCTTAAAGGAAGGTCACATGCTTTGGTCTCTCTCACACCTTGGGTTTTCTTTTTCCCTTTTAATATTGATCTTTCATTGCATTTAGACATATATTTAAAAAAAAAGTGTTATTTCTTTTTCCCTAGACAAAGAACATTGTTTATGTTTTATTGCTTAATTTCTTTTCCCAATAAATTATAAATTATTATATCCTATTTTGTTGTCAGTCTCCCTCTTTATGTTAAAAAGTTAACACTCTGGACTTTCCTCACCTTGGTGTGTTGAACTGTTTTCTCAAACTCTCCTTTCATTTCTTCACTGTGTTGAAGTTTCTCCTGTAATGATTTCAGTGCTGTATTGAGCTCCTCCTAGAATTGAACAAAAATCCATAAAACACCAGGTTACAGTGAAAAAACAAGAGAAGACGATACAGCGATATGATCATATAATTCAGTGCAAAAGTATTTCCCCCATCCAGATTTCTTCTGTTTTTTACGAACATCTCATACTAAATTAATTCAACCTGCCATACCTGCCATAAAACAAACACAACCTGAGTGAACCAATACTAACTGGGCCTGTGTGAAAAGTCGTAGTTAATGTAGTTAATAATTCCCCAAATCTAAGAAACTTTATTGATAATGGAGTTCAGCTGGACTAAACACAACCAGCTCTGATCAATCAAATCAACACTTAAACAGGACTTTTAAAACAACATGAAGCTGGTTAAAAGTTGTTTCGCTTACCTTATATGATGAAACCACTTCATCGATGGGTCTGAATTTATGATTGTCGTGTTTCTTTGAATTAATACACACTACACACACCGGCTGTTTGTCCTCCAGACAGAAGAGTTTGAGTTTCTCACTGTGTAAACTTCAGATCTCCTCAGATCCTGATGAACGCCTCTCATTTCTCTCCTTCAGGAACAACTCACAAGTTTTTTAACACAAGACTAACTGGAGGATCATCTCTTGAGGATCTCCTCCTGCAGACAGGACACTCCTGAGTTTTCTTGGTTCTCCAGAACTGCTGAAGACACCCTTTACAGAAACTGTGACTACATGATAAAACAACAGGATTCTTGAAGATTTCCTGACATACAGGACAAGAAAAATCATCTTCAGATAGAGAAGCCATTATCCCTCTTTGAGCTCCAGCGATCTAAACTTTACTTTCACTTTCTGAACGACAGTTTGAAAAACGGATCACCACGAGAATCACAAAGATCTGCTATCTATTCAGAAACAAACTTAACAAAGATCCTTCTGTAAAGAGTTTCTCTTGATTCTTCACTGATGGCTGGTTCTTTATTGCTTTTGTCAGTAGAGAAGAGAGTCAGTGTGACAGAAAGCAGAAATAACATGTCAGTCTCTTCCTGGTAAGAGCTGTAAGAGGCTGGAGTTTATGATCTCATGAGTGTGTTTAAACAAGTCAGACAGGAACATAAGGATTTCTGCAGGTAACATTTAACAAATTCTATTCAAAATGAAATTGCACTGAAATGTTAAAATAAACTTCTATAAACTCTTGGATAAAACACAATAAAAACAATGAAAATACACAAATACTAACAATAATGTGAAGAACATGACCGTAGACTTGATTAATTCTATGCATTTTTGGTCAGAAGGAACTGGGTTTTGTAGGACATCGGTTTAGTCAAGAGCAGGGCCATGCACAGACATTTTGAGGGACAGTGGCCCAAACCAAAAAAAAAGGGGCACAAGGAGGGTGGGTGCTTGTTAATACAAATTATCCAGTTGTTACAAATATACAATTAAAAGAGAAGACAGCACACTCTGTAGTAATGGACTTTATTGTAGATGTTTTGATAAGAGTGGGCTCTCCCTCACTCTCTGAGCCTGCTTCTGCCTCATCTTCAATGGAAGTAGGGGAGAGTGGGGTAAGTTGACCCACCCCCTGTATCTTGGCAACTGTACACTTTTACTGTCATGTGACCATGTATTTTGGAACCACCCATCATTTCTGCCAGACTGTGATAAGGAGAAACACATGGGGGGAATGGAAGGCACCCATTTTTGGCTTGTCAAAGTAAACTTTTAGCATAACAGATGTAATGGTTGCTACATTAAAGCAAATTTGTCCAGGTCTAAAAGTATTTATGATACATATAGGTGATTTAGCAACATATAAAACCAAGCAAATCATTTAGCTAAATATTAGCCTGAACTGGTAAGCTACAGTAGCTATTTTTTTTCCCAAAATGGCAGCTATGGGGCAAAGTGAGCCAAATGCTGTGGGGTAAATTGTGTCAGCATTTTAACTTACTCCACCATAAGGCACTGTAGTTAAGTTAAATCTCTGAATTATAAAATGGTATTTTAATGCGATATATTACTGGTTTAGTTTATCATTTATACATATTATTTGCAGTTTATTTGATAGGGACAGTGTACAAGTGCACCAAATCCTTCACTGATAAGAACCAGAAAACACTTTATCACATTATAATTAGATATATATTTCCACCTGTAGTCACTAATGGCCAACACACTCTGTTTAGTCTGTTTCATGTGGATTTGAATCTGATTCAGTTCGATGGTCATTTTACACCCAGATGGTGCATCTTACCCACTGACTCGACTTCGGTCAACTTACCCCTAACCCGGTGCAAACTGAGCCATGGGAACACTTTTTTATAAGTATTATTTTTAGAACCCTTTGCCATTGTAACGGAAGAGGTCTGACGCAACAGGTTAGTATTTATAAACAGTTTTATTTGCTCACAAAGAGTACGGGTGTAGGGTCCAGATGATGTGATGGTGAGTGATAGTTCGTAGAACAGTTCAAAGGATATGATGAGTGGAGTAATCAGAGTTTTTGGCTTTACAGGAGCTGGAATGCACACAGGAGGACCACACACCTCAGCGATCTGGGAATTAGGAAGAACAGGAGACACTTGGAGACGAGGAGACACTAGGAGGAACACAGGAGGTAAGTAATGCAGGAAGTATTCAAATGGAAGCAGTAGCAAAGTCATAGAGTCCTCTACTTGTATACGAGACTCGGCGCCGGGACTGCAGAATTTCCTTCACTTGGTAGACTGACCCCTCATACAGGATCAAGGGAAGAGAGGGTTCCTCCGTCTGGCCAGGCTCTGTGGGGAGAGAGACAGGTTCATGGTGAGGTTTAAGCAGAGAAACGTGGAACGTGGGATGAATTCTATACTGTGCGGGTACTTGGAGTTTGTAGGTGACCGGGTTTACTTGTTCCAGGATGGTGAAGAGGCCAACAAATCTGGGACTGAGCTTTCTGAGCTTTCCTGTGGCAGGTGCAGTCTGATGTCCCAAGTTGACAGCCATACCTTCTGACCTGGTTGATAGGTAGGTGTTTCAGCTCTTCGAAGGTCCGCGGCCGTCTTCTGCCTGCGCACTGCCCGTTGGAGATGGTGGTGAGCAGCGTCCCAGACCCTCTCGCTTTCCCGGAACCAGTAGTCAACCGCCGGAACATCAGAAGGCTCCCCGGACCAGGGGAACAGTGGAGGCTGGAACCCGAGCACGCACTGGAAGGGAGTGAGACCAGTAGAAGGCTGTCGCAGGGAATTCTGGGCGTACTCGGCCCAGCCCAGGAACTGGTTCCAGGAATCCTGGTGGCCATGGCAGAAGGTTCGCAGGAATCGCCCCACCTCCTGAATCTTCCTCTCCGTTTGACCATTCGATTGTGGGTGGTATCCGGACGAGAGGCTTACGGTCACACCTAGGAGTTTGAAGAACGCATTCCATACCTTTGAAATAAACTGAGGTCCCCGGTCTGAGACGATGTCTTCGGGAATGCCATAATAGCGGAAGACCTTGTTAAAGAGAAGCTCAGCTGTTTCCAGTGCAGTGGGGAGACCTCTGAGGGGCAGGAGGCGACATGACTTTGAGAAATGATCAACTATTACCAGGATGCATGTTTTACCTTCAGAGGGTGGCAGGTCCGTGACAAAGTCTACTCCTAGGTGTGACCAGGGGCGATTTGGCACTGGTAGAGGAAGGAGTTTGCCAGATGGTAAGTGGCGCGGGCTTTTGGACATGGCACAGTCTGGACATCCTTGCACGAACCTTCTCACGTCCCTTGCCATATTGGGCCACCAGAAGCGATCTCGTAGCAGCGAGAGGGTGTTGTTGGCCCCTGGATGGCCAGTGCCTCGGGAGGAGTGAGCAGAGGGAATCAGTGGGGTGCGTTGTGTTCATGGTACATACTGGCATCCTGGAGGACAGCCCAGCGGATTGTTGGGAGCTGTTTTTGAGGCCACTGAAGGGGAATTCCATTCAATGGGACTGACAATAATCTTTGGTGGGATGATACTTTCCGGCTCTTCTGGGCCTTCCACATGACTGTGAATACGTGACAAGGCGTCTGCCTTGACGTTTCTGGGACCGGGGCGATAAGTAATGGTAAAGTTGAACCTGGTAAAGAATAATGGCCATCGTGCTTGGCGGAGATTTAGACGTTTAGCCTCACGAAGATGGTCGGTCAGTACGGTGAATGGATGGGCTGCCCCCTCCAGCCAATGCCTCCACTCCTCTAAGGCCAGCTTGATGGCAAGTAGTTCTCTTTTGCCGATGTCATAATTATTTTCCGCCGGGCAGAGCTTCCTCGAGAAGAAGGCACATGGGTGGAGTCTGGCTGGGTTCCCCTGCTGCTGGGACAACACTGCCCCCACTCCTGTAGTGGAGGCGTCGACTTCCACGATGAGTGGGAGGTCGGGATCTGGATGGACTAGGAGTGGGGAGCTAGTGAAGGCTCTCTTGAGGGAGGAGAAAGCTTCTAAGGTCGCAGGTGTCCAGGACAGAGACTTGGGTTTCCCTCGGAGTAAGTTGGTGAGGGGACTGGCGATCCTGCTGTAGCCTAGAATGAAGCGACGGTAAAAGTTGGCAAATCCTAGGAATCGTTGGATCTCTTTAATAGTAGTGGGTTCTGGCCAGGAGGTTATAGCTTCCACCTTCCCCTCGTCCATCTGGATACCGGTACGATCAATGTTATACCCCAGGAATTGCACCGTGGGTTGGTGGAAGGTGCACTTTTCAGCCTTGAGGAATAGGTGGTGTTCTCTCAGGCGTTGGAGGACCTCCACAATGTGCTGGTGATGTTCGGCCTGGCTCCGGGAGTAACTCGATGCAGCAGGGGAGTTAGATGGACGGATGTAACCTTGACCCAGCGCCTTCTTGATGTAGTCCTCCATGGCCTTCTGTTCAGGAAGCGGCAGTGAAAATTCAGTTGACCCCTCCAGAACCAGGAAATGAATGTCCTCCGAGTGAAGGAGGCCCAGGCGAAGAGTGATGGGTCCCACGCGATAGCGGACATGTCTACGGCATAGTGGTGTTCCAGTTATCGACTGGACTTGGTAAACTGTTTCAGTGGCTGTAGCCTGTAATTTGAGCTGGCGGCAGAGGTCCCGGGAGATGAAGTTTCCTGCTGACCCAGAGTCGATAAGGGCCGATATACTAAATAGAAACATCAGAGGCAGTAAGCCTTACACAGGTAGTGAGGAGCTCCATCTTAATGATATCAGGCTGAATCACACTCACCACAGGCAATGCAGGTCCTGTTAGCAGGGAGATAATAAAGGCAATTTTTGAGGTGTCAGTGGGATATGAGTGCGGTTGCATTTCAAATGTGAGATTACACTGGAGGAGAAATCCGTTGCACTCCCCCGCCGAACTAGAGTAGGGCACCGGTTGGGCCATGGGACTAGCGATGATGGTAGGCGAAGCAGTGCTGGTTGGGATGGAGGAGGTGATGGGTGGTGATGGCGGCGCGAAGAAGTGCTGGTTGGGACGGATGCGGTGATGGGTGGTGATGGTGGCGGTGCCGGTGGATTGCGGAGCACTCGTCGTAGGGAGTCTACGAGCTCCTGGAATGGATCTGGGTGACTCATCTGTGCTGTCGGTGTTGGTCCGGTCTTCTGTAACGGAAGAGGTCTGACGCAACAGTTTAGCATTTATAAACAGTTTTATTTGGTCCCAGAGAGTATGGGTGTAGGGTACAGATGATGTGATGGTGAGTGAATAGTTCGTAGAACAGTTCAAAGGATATGATGAGTTGAGTAATCAGAGTTTTTGGCTTTACAGGAGCTGGAATGCACACAGGAGGAGCACACACCTCAGCGATCCGGGAACAGGAGACACTTGGAGACGAGGAGATAGTAGGAGGAACACAGGAGGTAAGTAATGCAGGAAGTATTCAAATGGAAGCAGTAGAAAAGTCATTGAGTCCTCTACGTGTATACGAGACTGGACAGTGAGGGTGTCTGAGGTGTGTGCTTTTATGCATGCTGGTTGATGAGGTGCTAGATTGGTGATAGGTGCAGGTGCTCGGAATTCAGGTGAGAGGGATCGTTGTGATTGGGTGGTGGTGGAGCCTGACCGATCTGTTACAGTCATAGCGATAGGTATACTTTCATTTGGATAGGATGGATACTTTCATTGTACTTCTGCGTCATTTTCTCTTATCTTGAGGACCACACAAGTAAACAGTGGCTAATCTTACCCCACTCTCCCCTATAAGTATTAGACATTTCATTTAATATTTTACAGCATAAATCTATATTATATACTAATAAACAACTGATTTAGAACATTTATACTATTTTTTTAAACTATTTATAGGCTTACTATTAATTTAGTTTTAATAAAATATTATTAAAGATTACTAGTATCAAGACAAGTGATAAAAATGGGAAATATACTTAATTACAAAAATTAAAGTGTGACAAATTGCTAAATATTCTATATGATGATTTACCTGCTGGCTTGCTGGAGCTTTGTATTCATGTTTGCAATGTTGAACTGCCTTTAGCAGCCTCCCCTCACTCTATCTCTCTCTGTCTTCTTTTTTGTGAAGGCATTTTTTTCTTGTCTACAAAGTGTGCCAACAGCAGCAAATTTGGTGTTATCTATATTAGATCTGGGGTGCGTTTCCCAAAAGCAACTATGGTCGCAAGTTCCGTTGTTACCAATAGATTTCAATGGAACTAACTACCATAGTTAGCTAATGATGCTTTTGGGAAACGCACCCCTGATCGGGTACAATAATTTGATTAGACATTCTAATTCTAAGAACATGGATATTTTGTACAAGTTGTTAGCCCTTTTAGGAGGCCGTGTCATTATCGACAAAAATAAAAACAAACAAACTACCAACTAATTAGTAATTCAGTGGATCAACCACTGACTAATGTGGATTGTAATGCATCTACCTGGTAATGCAACGAGCTTCGGGGACTGTGGTCTCCACTCTCCAGAAAGCGGCACACAGATTGTGAGTGATGCTGCGGAGCGGGCGGGAAACACAGAATCAGCGGATCTTTAGCAGAATCGGTGGATCTTTAGCGGAGCCTAACCCTAACAGACAGCTTTGAGCTGGGGTGAGGGGAGATTGGTGAGAGGGGCACCTCAGCCGATGAGGGCAAAGGGGCAGTGGCTCTGCACTAGGGCTGCACTATTAATCGCATGCAATATTTAACGTTTACAGAACCAGCTTTACTGATAAGATGCGCGTTAAATATCGCATGCGATTAATCGTGCAGCCCTACTCTGCGCACACACACACACACACACACACACACAGTGCTGTATTGAGCTCCTTCTAGAATTAGGGTTACAAAATAAAAATCCATAAAACACCAGATTACAGTGAACAAAGAAGAGAATACGATACAGTGATATGATCATATAATCCTTATTTCTTCTGTTTTTTGTGAACATCTCACATCTATGCTATATTAATTATTAATTCAGAAATTAAAACCTGCCATAAAACAAACACAACCTGAGTGAACACAAAGCACAGTTTGTAAATAACAATGTTATTTGTTAAAGCAAAAAAAGTTATTCAATATCAACTGTGAAAAAGTATTTGCTCCCGTAGTTATTAATTCCCCAAATCTGAACCCCAATCAAATCAACACTTAAACAGGACTTTTAAAACAACATGAAGTTGGCTAAAAGTTGTTTTTGTTTTTTGTCCTCCAGACAGAAGAGTTAGAGTTTCTCACCGAGACATTCCCTTTCATATGTTCACTTCTACGCTGCGATAGCAGTATCGCTTTGGGAGTGATATACAATAACACCTTCCCATTCCTGAGGATAGCTGGAAGATTGAGGAAAGAGTTCGCTCAAGCAGATTAACCTGGGAGCAAGGAGCATCCTCACATCCAGACCATTCTGCATTCCTCTGGTAGAATGAACACGCACACCTAGAGGAGAAGCTATGCTACACACCTCATAAGCTGCTGAGACCGTCTTGATCAACCAGAGACATCCTCTGTTGGTGACAGCAGCTTCTTTGTTTTCCGTCAAAACAACAAAGGTAATATATACCACCGGACTACACTGTCTTCATAGATCTTCAATGTCCTCACAGGGCAAAGGCCAAGAGGTCATAAATCACTCCCAATTCCAAAGTTAGGAGGGGAAAAAGGCCTCCAAACCTTAAACAGCCCTGGACAAAGTCCATACAAGAAGGGCTGATTGAGACTGCAGGTCCCCTATTTTTGAGAGAGAATAGAGCCACCAAACAGGACTGTCTAAAAGTCAGCTTTCTGACACCGACTCTAATGGATGACAGAAAATCCTGTGAAGGAATCTGTGCAGGGCGGAAAGGCCTAAGCCGTCTCGACCCTTGCAGAAAATGGGAATAACAGGGCGTGATGTCCAACAGAAACATCTCCCATAGACACACTCTCAGCAGATATAGCTGCCACATAAACCTTAAGAGTAGCAGGGGACGCCCCACCAAAACGAGTCTGCAGGAAGTCCAGTATTGAACCTACAGAACAATGAACTGGGTCCAGACCAGACTGTCTGCACAAAGATCCAAAAAAGCTTCCTTAAAAGCATACAATAAAAGCCTCATAGAGGGATCCTAAATTTAAGAATAGTGTCTGCAGTCTCAGCTGAGAGCCCAGAACACATAAACATGCCCCACTCAGGGGCCACACCCACAGTTCATAAATCAAACGGGGAGCCAAATTATACACTGGGCCTGAGTAGCAGGTCGGGCCTGAGGGGAACCTCCCAAGGAGGGCCAGCTAGCAGACTGACCAGATCTGAGAACCATATTTGAGTTGACCAGAACAGGGGGAACAGGAGAACCAGAGCGGGCAATGCACAGTCATGCTCGAAACAGACAAATCCACATCCTCTCATCCGAACCTCTGCATAAGAGGCTCACCCCTTTAGGGTGTAGTGACAACCCTCAAACACTGCCAGCATCTTCAAATAATTATGTCCACAGTGCAGAGAGGTACCACTGGAATGGTCTCATGTGGAGCAGGCCCAACTGAATCACAGGAGATGCTGCTGCCGTAAGACCCATCAACCTGTTTGGCAAAAAACTATGTGGAGACATGTCCTGTTCTGAACTAGATTAGACAGGTTTGTAATGACTGTACACGTGTGGGAGACTGACGTGCCGCATCATGCAAGAGTCCAAGTCCACACTTAGAAAAGTCGCTTCCTCAATGGCAGCAACACACTCCTATGAAGTTTTATGTGCAATCCTAGGTTCTTCAAAGATCGAGTACAAAATCTCAATGAGCTACTGCTGAACGCTTTGATTTAGCTAATATCAGCCAGTCGTCCAGGCAATTCAAAACTCAGACTGCATTGGATCCAGAGTCCGCGTCCATTCACTTTGTGTTCAAAGAGTCAGAGCTGGTCCGAATGGAAGAACACAGTATTGGCAAGCCTTGTTCAAAAGCAAACCTGAGGAACTTCCTGTGTCTCTTGACGATCTGGATGTAGAAGTACACATCCTTAGATCAATGTGTCACGAACAAATCTCCGGTTCAGAAAGAGACAAGATGGACTTCTATGTCAGAATCTTGAATGTGCTTACTCGGGAACAAGATGTATGTGCTGTGAGTCCCAATCGAATTCAAATAATTTTAAGACTCAAATATCAAGAAAAAAAAAAAAAAGAAAAAAAATCACTCAATGGGTTGAATGAACGATTCAATGCATCACTCATTAAGACAGGGACTTTATGCCACCTACTGGTGGTTTTAGTGTCATATTTATTTATCATAAACAAGCCAAGACCAACACAAAAACACAATCAGCAGAATATCCTGTATCATTATAGAAAAATCCCTTAAAATATTGATAACATTTTTTTTTCAAAATCACAAACCCAAACGTCCCACTGTGCCCTCTTAGCAGAATTAAAAGAACGCAAAAAAAGTAATGCGATTGCAGTGGGAGGAGCTTAACTGATGATGATGTGATTGCAGTGGGAGGAGCTTCACTGATGACGATGTAATTGCTGTGGGAGGAGCTGATCTGCCAAAATCAAAAATATATCAGTTTTTAATTAGTGGTCGATGACAGCTGATGCTGATATCTTGGAAAGCAGTGGGAGGAGCTTAACTGATGATGATGTAATTGCTGTGGGAGGAGCTTAACTGATGATGATGTGATTGCAGTGTGTAACGCAGTTTGTAGGTCGGGAAGAAGGAGGCGGGAACCGGCGAACACTTCAACAAAAATTTAATAATAAAATAAACACAAAATAGCGCGACAGATATAATTGTATTTATTTTAATTAATATTTAAGACATTTGAAATCATTTGAAAATGGATTAAAAATAAATTTGTAAAATAAACATACTTATACTTTAGAAGACAAAGCATTTTTCACAAATAAATATTTAATAAAAATCTAATTGAATAGGAAGTAAACACTGTAACCAACAGAGCACGCAGTATTCTGGGAAGTTTGTGTGCATTGGAAATCATATATATATATATATATATATATATATTTTTTTTTTCAAATAAAGTCAAGGTAACACTCATTTTAGATACAGCACACAATAAAAATAACATGAATATGACAGTGGGCAAATGCATAAAGTGCAGAATAATTTGAAATCATGAGTTTAGTTTGTCGATCGCGCGTCTCCAGTGAAGCTGAACTCTCCTCCTGTCAGCATTCAATTCACACGGACCGACCGTCACGCAGAGAACACGCGATCATGCAGGACACACATACACACTTCACAAGATATCAACTAGATTCGACTAAG